TATCTGTTTGGGTCCTTTCTCTTTTCTTTTTGATAAGTCTGGATCTGGGGTTATCAAGTTTATTCTTTCAAAGAACCAGCTCTTAGTTTTGTTGCTCTGTTCTGTTTTTTGTTTGTTTCTATATCATTTATTTTTGCTCTAATCTTTATTATTTCCCTTCTTCTGCTGGCTTTAGGCTTTATTTGCTGTTCCTTTTCTAGCTCTCTTACGTGCAAGGTTAGGTCGTGTATTTGAAACCTTTATGGCTTCTTAAGATAGGCCTTAATTGCAGTATGCCTTTGCTGCATCAAAAAGGGTTTGGACTATCATGTTTTCATTTTCATTTGCTTCTGTATATATTTTTTTTCTTTTTTAATATACTGGTTAACTCATTCATTCTTGGGTCAGATGTTCTTTAACTTCCATGTATTTTAGAGCTTTCCACATTTGTGGTTGACTAAGTTTGATAGCATTATGATCTGAAAATATGCATGGTAAGATCTTGGTCTTCTTGTACTTTTTAAGGGCTGATTTGTGACCCAGTATGTGGTCTGCTCTGGAGAATGTTCCTTGTGCACTCAAAAAGGATGTGTATTCTGCTGCTTTAGGATGAAATCTTCTGAATATATCTGCTAACTCCATCTGGTCCAGTGTGTCATTCAAAGCTGTTGTTTCCTTGTTGGTTTTCTGCTTAGATGATCTGTCCATTGCTGTTAAGTAGTGTGTTACCTCCTAGCCAAGGGGTGGCAGACACAGGCAGGCTTTGTCCTGTCCCACAGCACTCCAGGGAAGGGGTCATTTTCTCCTACTCTGGACTGTACCCCTGACCTAGCCACCAAGCCCAGGGTGGCTCCACTCTTCCTCAGGTGCGGGAACAGGGTAGCCAGCCCCAGTCTGGAGAAAGCCCCCACAGTTAGAGATGGGATTCCTCTCCATCCAGTCTGAGGTTTTTCTCTTGTCCAGATACACTCCCATGCTTCCGCAACCTCACTTTCTCTTCCCTTCCCTTTGTCTCTCCACAAATGGGGATCCTAAAGTCTCCTACTATCAGTGTATTATTTTCAATGAGTTTGTTTATGTGTTATTAATTGATTTATATATTTGGGTGCATAAATATTTGGGGGGCATAAATATTTACAATTGTTAGATCTTCTTGGTGGATAGACCCCTTAATTATGATATAATGCTCTTCATCTCTTGTTACAGTCTTTATTTTAAAATCTGGTTTCTCATGTAAGTATGGCTACTCCAGCTTTCTTTTGACATCCATGCATGATAGATGGTTCCCCTCATTTTTTATCTGCAGGTGTCTTTAGGTCTTTAGTGAGTCTCTTGTAGGCAGCATATAGTCAGATCTTTATTTTTTATCCATACCCTGTGTCTTTTGATCGGAGCATTTAGTCCATTTATATTCAGAGTGATTATTGAAAGATATGAACTTAGTGCCATTGTGTTACCTGTTAAGTTGGTGTTTCTGGTGATGCCCTCTGGTTCTTTCTAGCCTTTGTTGTTGCTTTTTGTCTTTTTTTTTCCCCCTCCACTCAGAGTCCCCCATGAAATTTCTTACAGGGCTGGTTTAGTGGTCATGAACTCCTTTAGTTTTTGTTTGTTTGGGAAACTCTTTATCTCTCCTTTTATTATGCATGAGAGCCTTGTTGGGTAAAGAATTCTTGTCTGCAGGGTGCCTGGGGTGGCTCAGTCAGTTAAGCACTCAGGTCATGATCTCACAGTTGGTGAGATTGAGCCCCACATTGGGCTCTGCCCAGAGCCTGCTTGGGATATTCTCTTTCTCTCTTCCCCCACCTTGGTTCCTTCCTTGCTCATACATGCTCTCCTCCCTCAAAATAAATGAATAAACTTAAAAAAAAAAAGTAAAAATGAAAATAAGTAAAAGGAATAGAAAAAACTGAGAATAAATGAATAAATAATAATAAAAAATAAAGGATAAAAGTAAACAGGAAGCTAGATCCTATTTCCCCTAGAACTGAAGCTCTGTAGCACTCTATGATCAGTAGACTTGGTGCAAACAAGTGCGGGTCTTCTGGGGGAGGAGCCAGCTGTGCTGATTCTCAGGCTGACTTGTTTCAATACAAATGTGCCTCAGGGCGCAAGGGGACAGCACTTGGTGAAGTGGCTCTGACCTTCACCAGGTGGCGCTGTTTTGTTCACTGAAGGCTTTCAGTGCTGAGGGGCGGGATGTATATGGTGGTGCCCCAGTCTCTAGCCCTGGAGCTGAAAATCATGCCCCCTCCTTCAGGGAATGCTCACAGAAGAGCAGTCGTTCACCCCCCTTGTGTACCTGGTTTCCAGCAGAACCCTGCGTTCACCCTGCCACCCATGTCTGAGGGTTGTTGTTTTTTTGTTTTGTTTTTGTTTTTATCTCAGGAGTTTCAAAACTCCAAATTTTAGGGAATCCCATGGTGCAGACCCACACTGTTCCTCTGGGGGAGAGTCTCAGCGAGCTTTTGCTGGCCTATGTGAGGAAAGTGGTTGTATGACCCTATAGTACTTCAACGTTTATGACAAAACAGAGCCAAAAGCTGTCACCCCTGCTTGCTGCCCTCAGCCTGAGTCCCCACTCCTATGCCTAGAAAAAGTGCAGTACATTGGTGCCACCCATTCTTCCTGCGACCCAAGGGATCCTAAGACCACACTGTCACATCTGGGATTCTGCCCAGCTTCACCACCTGAGCACCTTTAAGCCAGGCACATCCCCCATTATAACGTACTTCTAAAATTTCAGATTTTGTGCTCTGCTGCTTATAATACTTTGTGGTAGCCTCCGTAAGCGGCCTCCCTCCCTGCTGCTGTACCTGAAGCTGTCTCCTCCATATCAACTCTCCACACCTCCTACCTTCCAGAAGGTGGTCACTTTTGTACTTGTAGACTTGCAGTTTTTGTTCTCTCAGACCTCTGATTGACTTCTTGGGTATTCAGAATGATATATAATAACTGTCTAGCTATGTTGGAGGGACAGGACAAGCATAGGGTTTCTCTGCGCCTCTGCCAGCTTAACTCCTGTCCCCCTCTCTTGTTTTGTTTTGTTTTTTTTGTCTCAAGTTTTGGCCAGGTTTTCTATGAAACACCTACTTGTGGATTGCTTGTTTGTTTATTTATTTATTACTTGTTTATTGGTTTAATGTTTTTCGTGGATCTAGAATATATGGTTTAATGTTTTCTAAATCAGTTTTTAGAAGTTTTCAGCCTTTATCTCTTCAACTACTTCACTTACACCATTTTTTTCTTCTTTCATTTGGGATTGAGATTATAGGTAATCATACTCATGTTAAAAACACCTTTCTGGGTTTTTTCCTAATTTTCTGAAATTTTTTTCTTTAGGTTTTAATATTTATATAATTTATCTTTCTAAAGTAATGATTAATTCTTTTCTCCCACATGGATACCTCAAATACTTTCCCCCAACTTTTTTTTTTAATGTTTATTTTATTTTTTATTTTTATTTATTTATTTTTTTAATGTTTATTTTATTTTTGAGAGAGCGCATGTCAGCAAGGGAGGGACAGAGAGGGGGGGAACAGAGGACCTGAAGCGGGCTCTGGGCTGACAGCAGCAAGCCCAATGTGGGGCTCGAACTCATGAACCATGAGATCATGAGATCATGACCTGAC